TTTTCGTCGAAGGAAAGGCCATTGTGCAGGATCTTCGAGGCGTCTCCAACGTGAAGTCGAACATGCCCTGTGACCTGATGCAGATCTACGCCGGCGAGGCCGTCCTGTCTGAAGATTTCAGTCGAGCAGGCTTCTGAAAGTTTGCGAGCCCATAGATCAACGCTGCAATTGCGACCCGCGCAGCGCTACCAGCAGACGAGAAGTCCCAAGAAAGCGTCGCGCATGCAGACCGAGACTCGTGACCTCGGAGTTCCCATGTGCGTTTTGGGCGCAGCTCGCGAGAGTCAAGTATCGAGGCGAGTATCGACGACGAGAGCTGAGGAGGAAGTGGATGCGTGATTAGCCGTTGCCAGATTTCGCAGAGGAGATGAGCGTGCTGCAGCCAGGAGCCAATGAAGACATTCTCGTGGAGAGTCCTTGGGTTTCTGGCGCGTTCAAGCAGCCCCAGCTGATGCGCGTGATGGCCCATCCGAGAGTCATGGATGTGCGAGTCGACATGTGCAGCTTCAACCTGCGGCGCCCGAGGACTGGAGGCAAGGTTCGCAAGGCGACCGAGCTCTTCGTATCGAACGAGTCGTGCGTGAAGAATTTTGGGCAAGAGATGTGACGGGCAATGCCGGCGCGACCATGTGGAAGATCCTGCTGCGCGCGGCTGGCGTGAATATCTACCCTTGAGTTCGCGCGAGCCGTCCTGCTGGCATATCGGCGCAGCAACTCGACCTACGCGATAGAGCACGGATTGTTCGCGACCGGCGACCTGATGGGCCTCGTGGGCGGAGAATGCGACGAGTGGTTCTACTTGGAGAACGTGGGGGGCTACGAGGAGCTGCCGATCAAACTACCAGATGGTCCTGAGTGGCCCCGAGTAGGGCGGCGCCGCGTCGCGGACATGGACGCTGACTCAGTGCTGCGGGACTCCGAGAAGACGCATCCCGCTGGGCCATGTGTGGACCATGCTGGATCGCACGGGCAAGCCGTTCGTGCAGTTGCTGTGCAAGCCCGAACCTGTCCCCGGAGAACTTGGCGCCAGGGCGGAGCTCGGAGCGTTCGAGCCAGCGTCTGGCAGTTTTACGACGAGTGCACCAGAACTTGGGCCACCCCAGCAACGAGGATTTAGCCCGATCGCTACGTCTCTCAGGCTGCAGGGCTGAGATGGGCGAGGCTGCGAAGTCAGTGCGATGTGCTTCGTACGTGGGCGAGGCCCATAAGAAGATCGCGAGGCCCGCTCGCCCCTCGCACGCGGCCGGCTTCAGCGATCAGATCGGCCTGGACTGCTTCGCGATCGAGGACAACGACGGCAAGCCTTGGGATTTTCTGTCAGTGGTGAATTTGGGTGCTACGCTTCACGTGGTGGGAATGATCGAGAGACATCATTCGGAAACGTTGGTGCGAGTATCTATGCACATCTGGGCAAGCTGGGCAGGGCCCTCATCGAGCGTGGCAGTGGACCTCGAGAGAGGCTTGGGCTCGGTATTCCAGGATGCTTGACATATTCCACTTTGCTGTCGTGGCCGTTGCAGGACAGGCAGCCTTGCAACGTGGCCGGACTTGAGACAGGGAGACTGGTGCAAGGAGCTAGCCGAAAGGACGATCAGCCGCGCTCGGGCCTCAGGTGTAGCAGGCGCGCGCGCGGTCGCGTCCGAAGTCGCAGGGGCCGAGAACTCTTTGCGACGACAGTGTGGCTTCAGTCCGGAGCAGTGGGTATTTGGCAAGAGTTTTCGTCTGCCAGCCGACCTAGTTGGACCGAGCTCATCGTGATGCAGCTCACGAGGGCGCGGGGCCTCAACCGATGGAGAGACAGCTCGCTAGGCTTTCAACCGATTGGGGCGGCCGCGCGCAAGGCTTGAATGGAGATGCAGAACGACGGCGCCCTGCGAAACTGCGCTTCTCGGACGAGCTCGAGCGACTCCGCGTCCACTAGAGGAAGGGGGCTTGTTTTTTTCATTGCCAACAGCTCAAGAAGTGCTCCATCGAGAAAGGGGCTCGGCTAGGTGCCGCGGTGGTGGTTGGCAAATCGGGCCAGAGATATTGGGCGTGGCTTCGCGAAGCTCGTGGCTCCTGAGCGTGTTCGACCTGTCTCTCCCGAAGAAGTGCGGTGGCCAGGTGTCGACGATCAGCGCGGAGAGGCCCCTCGACCAATTTCAGCGAATCAGCCAAAACATCGACGCCAATGCCGGCGTGGTGTGCGAGGACCTACGAGGTAAAGAGCCACCGCCGCACGACGATGCTGGGGGCGTAGAACTGGGGCCTCCAGGGCCCGAGTCGTAGGCAGAAACAGTGCCGCCGCGAGAGGGCGCTGATGTCGGGCTCCCTCCAGCAGAAGGTGAGCTCCAAGCAGTGCAGCCTGAGCCGGCATCCTCGTCGTCCGCTGCGCAGGGGGATGCTCTATAGCCAGTAGGGACAGACTACGGTAACAGGAGCCGTGAGGAGTTTCAACGACGCCGGGCGGCATGCAGTCCCCTCGACGACGCGCCGCCGCGTATCGAGGCGGCGAAAACCAAGGCAGAGGCTGCTCGCGAAGCAGCTCGGCCCTACCGCGCGATCGCGGACGACGACCTGGACGAGGGCAGTGTCCGCGCTTGCCGCGATGTTGCGAGGGGCTCGAGCTCAGAGCGAGAGACTTCGCGAGAAGCTGCAAGACAAGGAGATCGCGTGGAAGGACGTCCCCGACGAGCAGGGGCCTCTCTGCCAGAAGACAATCGCCGTGCAATGGGAAGAGTGGAAGAAGTTCGGTTCGGTGGAGGTGATGTCGCCAGAGGACTCGGACAAGGCGCTGGAGCTCAACAGCGCGGGCCGGTTCCTGCCATCGAGGTTCGTGTTCCGCGACGAGAGTGTCGCAATTCGCACGGGGGCTAATCCAGTGCGGGTGAAGGCGAAGGCCCGCCTGTGCGCTGGAGGACATCGAGATCCAGATCCACAGACGGGAGCTTTGAGGACTGGCGCTCTGGCGGTGACGCGCACGAGTTCGCTGCTATTCCTCATCATGGCAAAGCGGCCTGGTTGGGGCCCCATCAGTGCCGATTCATGCAGGGCGAGGAACAACCTCGTGAGAAGGAGCTGTTCAATGAGCAGCTGGTTAAAGGTTTGCCGGGACTTCGTCCAGGACGGGTATTGCGAGTGGTGAAGGGGGTCTTTGGGCTTGCGACTGCGCCCAGGCAGTGGTGGGCTACTCTCAAACGTGCGCTACTCGAGATTGAGCTGACTGGCGAGGGCGGAGGCGCGTTCAATTTTGCGCAGGGCCTTGTGGACCCCGCTGTGTTTGTGGGACATACTCACAGCGGTTTCGTGCAGGCCGCCGCGTGCATTCACGTGGGTGACGGATCGCGGCCAGTGCCAACTTGAGCTGCCAGTCCAGCGAGAAGATATTTCCATTCGGAGGGTGGCAAGGGCTGCCGTTCACGTTTGGACGTAGTCGGCCGAGGAGAGGGTTCAATTCATTTATGTCAGGAGATATTTCAGACAAAGGTGGAGCTGCTTGACTTGACCAAGGAGCGTAAGAGGGACCTCGGCAGCCCGGCAACAGACTTGGATGCAGCCGAGAATCGAAGCTTGATAGGGAGTCTAGGCCGGCTCGCGACCCAGACGAGGCCGCACTTGTCGGCAGGAGTTTTAATGTCGCAGAGAGTTCAGACTGCACCAGTAGTCGCAGACCTCATCGAGACGAATCGCATCGTGTCCGAGGCCAGGCGCTACACGGAGACTGGAGTTACGATGCCCAAAATGGAGGCCGACCTGTGTGTTTTAGTATTCCATGCTGCCGCTTGGACCGACGTAGACGAGCCCGACGACGAGGTGGGTGGCGTAGCCTGGTGGCGCGCACGCAAAGCGAGGACAGCGTTTGCATCGGAGGCGCCCGAGCGTCTCAAGGCCAAGAGTCTGGCCGGATTTGTGATCTTCGTAGCCGAGCGGAAGATCTTGGAGGACGGAGAAGGTAAGGCAGCGCTGGTGGATTGGCGATCCAAGGAGGGTGTTTCGCAGTACGTTCGCAGCAGAGACCGTGAATGTAGTCGACGCGCTAGGAGTAGCTACAGTGATGCGAGCTTTGGTATTGAACATCATTTACCCGAACATGACGATCGACGACTTTGACTCGAGCTTGTGTCCCATCCAGTACGCGGTCGAATGTGCTTCGCTATACGACACTGTTCGTCGAGAAGGAGCTGTACAGTTGCTGTCAGAGAGGAGATTGGTCCTCGACCTGATCGGATTGAGGGAACTAGGGAACTATTCGAGGATGAGTTGTGCGAGGAGGTGGCTGCTGCTACCAAGTCCAAGCTACCACTGTCGAGGTCTCCTGCGAAACATATGCTGGCCGACGCTTTGACAAAGAGAATGGATGGCACGCAGACTCGAGCAGCAATGGGTGGCAGAGTGATGTTCCATGAAGCAGTACCGCCAACAGCAAAGGTGGATAATAACTCGTTATCCACATCATGTGCTACGACTTGGGATACATGGGTGTGGTGGTAGGAGCATGCCCAATATTCTGTGCACGCACACGCATGCTTTTTGCCGCGCAACTGTGTACGTGCTTGCTGCTCTCACATCTGGCAACTTACACCCGGTAGAGCTTACGTCCGCTTGTCTTCTTTGTGGGAACTGTAAAAAACTGAACAGCATGATTTGAGCCGATCGACGGCTGGCCGCCCTGAATTCATATTCGTGTGTGTGACGAACCACACGTATTTTCATTTTCCCTGGACCGTCTCGGGGCAACATAATTTTAGAACGAGTGTGAAAGTGAGAATGCTTGCGTGCAGTTGCTTGCCCCTCGTTTCACATGGACTGTATGTGTGTAGCGTTATGGCTCAGGACCCTTGTGCTTCAGGCTGTTCAGCGGGATGCATATCGCCATCCGTCGCATCGGATTCGAAGTAGCATCTTCACACCCACGTCTCCGTCTCCGTCTCCTCCTACCTCCCCTACCTTGTGCCATCTTGCTCTGCATCCTCCTCTTCGTAGGCGCTGGGGGGGGGGGGGGGGGCGGTAGTCTCCCGCAGGCTGGCAAGCCGATCGCCCAGGTCGCGGCGACCACCTTCAGGAGCGTGTGCTTTTTCAATGCCTCTTCCTTTCCTCCTTGCCACCAGCCCTCCTCCTTCTCTTCCTCCTTCCTCACCCTTCCCCCTCCGCCTCCCCCTCCCCTTTTTTCCACCGCCTCCCGCTCCTTCTCTATCATCCCTCCTCTCTTGTCTCTCCTCCCCGTCGCCCTCTCATTCCTGGGGGATCTTTTCAAGTTCAGCGGAGTTGTCTGTTTGGATGGGTTCCGTTGTCGTGGCTGCCTGGACCTATCTCGGACTTGGGTTTCACGGGCCTGCCGTGGGCTTCTTTTAATGCCGGGCACGGTCCAGGGGCTTTTGTTCGCGGCAGACGGTGTTCCAGCTGGGAGCAGCCCGGCTGCTCTGTACGTTCGAGTTCTCGTCGTCCCCTCGCCGGACCTCTTGTCCCCCTTTGTGCAGCGGGGCTTGGGCATACATCTATCTGTGCACACACACACCCATGTGTGTGTGTGTACGAATGTATATGTATGTATATCTATGTCTGTGTATGTATGTATGTATGTATGTATGTATGTATGTATGTATGTATGTACGTACGTATGTATGTATGTATGTATGTATGTATGTATGCATTTATGCATGTAGGTAGGTAGGTAGGTAGGTAGGTAGGTAGGTAGGTAGGTAGGTATGCGTGTATGTATGTATGTATGTATGTATGTATGTATGTATGTATGTATGTATGTATGTATGTATGTCTGTGTGTATGTATGCACGTACGTACGTACGTACGTACGTATGTATGTATGTATGTATGTACGCATGCATGCATGTGTGTATGTATGTATGTATGCATGCATGCATTCATGCATGTATGTATGTATGCAGGCATGCGTGTATGTATGTATGTATGTATGTATGTATGTATGTATGTATGTACGTATGTATGTCTGTCTGTATGTATGTATGTATGTATGTATGTATGTATGTATGTATGCATGTTTTTATTTATGTATGTTTATATACGTAGAGGGTACATCTATATACATACATCAAATTGCACACATGTTTATGTTTATTTATATACACATGCGTGTGGACATAAACATGGCTAAAGGTTTAGTACCGCGGGGCTTGAGCATAGCATCGTTCGTGACGCCATCTCGTTGGCCGATGAGATTCACGGTGTCCTCGCCGCAGACTTGACGTGCAATGTTCTTAGGCTTACGCCACACCGACGACCCCTTTGTTTTTTTGGGGGGGCTTCCTGGGGGTCCCTGGGGCACGTTGGGGGCGTCTTGGAGCCGAAGGTTCGAAGTGTCCGTTCCGGTTCCGGTTCTCCGTCCGGCTGACTGGGAGTCTCTCTGTCCGTCTTGGAGCTCTCCTAGTGGTCCTTCTGCCCTCTTGGAGCCCTCCTGGTGTCAAAAGGCGATGCGGCGACGGGCCGGGCGGCGAGAGGTGGGGGTCCACCCCTCCTCGGAGCGCTTCCGCGCGCGAGCGCAGGTGGCCACCCGAGGGGGGCGGTCCAGCGCGAGTGCGGCGCCGAGCCGTTCGGCCCACTGCTCTGTGCGCGGGCTCGGGGCTCACAGTCAAACGACGCGAAGATCGGGACAAAATCGGATCGGGATAACTCGAAATCTCTGAGAATCGGCGGGTTTGGAGGATGTATTGGGCACCGCGGCCGCTCCAGAGCGTTCCGGAACGCTCTGAGAGCGCTCCGGAGCGATTTATCCCGACCCTAGCACTGTTTTACACAGGGATCTCATCCGGTTTTGCATGCTCGCCCCGCCAGGTGGGCGAGCTGGCGGGCTGGGCGGGTGGACTCGTCGCGCGTTGCAGCGCAGCGCCGTCTCATCGTCTCGGGGCCTCTCCTCCATGTCCCGAACCTGTGCCCTCGCACAGCGGAGCAGCGCCCGTTGTCTACTCCACCAGTGTGGCTCTATGGACGGGAAGTCCCTCGCGTCATATTCGTCTGACCTGTCCCCTTCTCCTCGCCTCTCTCTCTCTCTCTCTTTCTCTTCACTCACTCTCTCTCTCTACCTCCTCCTCGCCCTGTCCCCCTCCCCCACTCCTCCCCTCGCCGTGCCTCCATCTCCGCCCCCCTCTCCCCCCCTCCCCGCCTCCTTGGTCATCGAGGACGGGGCGCTGCCCGCGAGCGCCGGCAGAAAGCGGCCCTCCCAGGAGGGCCTACCGCGCCTACCACCTCGTGAACAAGCCGGCCAAGGCGTTCCTTGCGCGGCCCAACGACGAGCTCTTCTTAGGCGCTCCGCCCCTCTGCGGCCTCGCCCCTCCCCGGGCCTCCCAGCT